GAAATTGATTACTTGTGTTCAATTGATTGCAATTCCCTATTTTTAATGTTCCCTGTTTGTTAAGTTTTGGTGATTTGCAATAAAAGAGTACTCCTTACTTAGAACATCTGGACAATATTCACTAATTCTGCGGTGTCCAATATTAACAGCAACCGGTTTTCTCTCATTTGTCTTTCTTAGGATCTGTTTTAAATTTTTTATGTAAAAAAAAAAAAAAAAAGAAAGTGCAAAGCGAAAAAGGAAAGAAAGAAAAGATAATTTTTGTTTGCTTATAACAGGCCATTGTAAAATAAGAATAATTAAAAGGAAAGAAAACTGATTACATATATTATTATTTCTTTTTTCGAGTTTGGATGTTAAAAAAATTAAGAAAAAAATAATGTTAAATTAATTTTCAGTCTATTACTCTCCTTCACACTACTCTCTTTTTCTCCACTCACTTTCTCAAAAGGGAAAAATATTATTATAAATTACACAACAGGAAATTCTTTGTGTCTTTACTCCTGAGAAATAAGCCTATAAACATTAATTACTTCCTTTTTTTCCTTTTCTTTTGGGAATGGGCTGCTCATACTTGCATGGCTGCATGCATTACTATTTCGTACACTATAAAATATAGCATACATGATATGCACATTACCCCACATTGACTTAAAGGAATGGGCTTGAGAAGGAGGATGTTGTGCAGATTTGGTTCTTCAGAAGAAGAGATGGAACCAATCCGTGCATCGCTCTCGTAAATCTCTCCCAACAAAATGATTATCAGAGTGGTGATAGTGATCAGCCAGAGAGCGATGTCACTCCCTAGCTCAATTTTATGTATTTATTTATTTATTTATTTTTTGTCTTTCAGGCAAGCATGGTAGTTAATTAATTATTAACTAATTAATTAGTTTCTATTTTATTATTTTTCTTTATAATTTCTCCTTATATATGAGATTTTTGGCGATCAGATTATTCAGATAAATAAGTACTGATACCATTTGAGTTTTTTCATTAATGAAATTGATTTGTTGTTTCAATATTTGAGTTGTTTAAGTTCATAGTTATTCTAAAGTTCTAGTGATTTTGCAATAACAGAGTACTCCTTAGTTAGAACACTTGGACAATATTCACTAATTTTGCGGCGTCCAAAATTAACAGCAACCTTTTTTCCTCTCATTTGTCTCTTTTAGGATATATTTTACATTTTTAGGTTAAAGAAAGGAAAGTGAAAAGCGAAATAGGAAAGAAATTGAGGAAATATACTTTTCTTGCTTATGACAGGCCATTGTAAATTAAGAATAATTAAAAGGAAAGAAAACCTATTACATATATTATCATTTCTTTTTTTGAGTTTGGATGTTAAAAAATTAAGGAAAAAATTACGTTAAATTAATTTTCAGCCTCTTTAGACTCCTCTCTATACTCTTTTTCTCTGCTCACTTTCTCAAAAGGGAACAATAGTACAAAAAAAAGGGGAAACCTTCCTGTCTTTACTCCTGAGAAATGAGCATATAAACATTATTTCCATTTTTTTCCCTTTTCTTTTGGGACTGGGCTGCTCATATTTGCATGGCCGCATGCAATATTATTTTTTTGTACACTATAAAATAGCATAAATGATATGCAGATGGACCCACATTGACTTAAAGTGGAGTGGACATACTAGCATTCATCGTTAGTTGAATTTGTGTACTAGGTTCCCTGAATATTCTGTTGATATAAAAACATTAAATTGGACAAAAACATGGATAGGATATGGCAATAGATCTTCCCCTAAGTAAAAGATACACTACGTACATGGCATGTATAGAGCAAAATTAAAATATAGCAAATTTTTTTTGAAATATTTTAAAAATAACAAATTACTTAGTAATTACTAGAATGATTTTCACGTTTCATGTAACAATACATAGTAATTATCTAAGTGATTTTAATTTTTCTATTTATAAGATAATGGTATATGTCTAAGTCTAACTCGCTCTTCAAATAAAAAAAACAAAAACAAAAACAAAACAAAAAACTCTAACTCACTCTATACATAATTGGTAAAATAACTCTTGTTCCATCAATCTCTTTATAACAATGCGCGCGATTTATTTAGAGAATATAGATTTTTCTTTCAACTTAATTTTTCGGGCTAATGTAAGGAGATAGAGAACATAATATTAATATATAGGCTTATTTCTCAAGGCAAGAAGCCTTTTTTTTTTCTTTTTCTGAAAAGAAAGAAGAAAACATCTCTTTCAAAAAGAATTCCCTTTTGTGCATTATTATATTTCATGCAAATTTTTTACTTGAATTTCACAAATAAAGTCAATCGAGTGAGAAAGTGGAGGGCTTTCATAATAATAGCATGAGTTTTTTTTTTCCTAGAAAAAAAAAAAAAATTGTTCAAGTGTAGCACTTATCTGAGGCTATTGCACTTATCTTTTTATGGAATTTTGTAGTTTTCTTGAATGCGCCCAAGTACTTCCAAGTCAAGAAAAAAAAATAATAAGATCGAAACTTACTCTTGAAAGAAATTCGGAAACTAATCTGAGTATTTACAAACATTAGCTGTTGAAAAACAATATTCCTTAAAACAATTAAATGAAGTTTTTAAGTGGGGAAAAACATAAGAAGAAAAAGGATCTGAAACCTTTCAGTAGTTTTAGCAATAGCATCAAAATCAACTTAGCAAAACGACAAAACTGATGGAGAAAAAAATATAAAAAATATATTAGAAATTTAAATATAAGATTAAAGTTATCTTAGAATTTAAATTATGGTTATTTTTGTTAGATTTTAGACGTGCATATATACATATATAATAATAATTGTATATTATATGTTATCATATTAAGCCCATTTAAAGTGATGAAATAAGGTTTTAGATAATTTGGACTTTAATGCATCTAATAAGTGTGGGCCTAATATTTGTAGAGACCAAATCGTTATTTTTTATTTTATGATGAGTCAAATTAGAAATAATAAAAAGTTGACTTCTATATAAATGGTTGTGGTCCCCAAATTATATGTATGAAATTTTTCTTACATCCCATCATTAGAAAAGTGAGAATTTTTTATCAAGGCATTCATATTGAATAATTTAGAAGATCAAGAACTAAAAGATTGATCAAGAACCACAAGGTTCAAGAAACAATCTGTTTCTATGGATTTAGGTTCGCTTCCGCTTAAGTCTATTCTTCTTGATGATTTAACATGGTAAATCTTGGTGTGGTTAAGGATTTCATCAATAAAGAATTTATTTCCATCAAGTGATATCATAGCAACCCATGTTAAGTCATTAAGAGAAATTCTTCTCTAATTTTTCGGTTGATGCTTTCGGACATACAGATTTGCGGCCTTGAGTGAATATAGCTTCGGTTATACATATGAGCGTGTTCATATAACGGTTACACTCAAAAATTTTTCTTTCTCTTTGATATTTGCTCTGCCTCCATATTATATATACATATATAAGTAAGGATACTAGAATTTTGTTGTCGTTTCTTATGGATGGTTTCAGTTTATATGTGTGTATATATATAGGATGCAGAATATAATGAGTTTCAGATTCAAGAAAACTGGCCGGTGGCACTCTTCTTTGCCGTCGGCGATATGCTATTCGGACACGGCGTTTGCCGCTTCCGGCATTGAGGAACGTCCGGCTGCACCGGTGATGAAGAGCCGCAGCCTACAGCCACGACGGTTGGGACTGGCCCCCCCCCGCCCCGGCGGGTTGGGGGGGGGGCCTGAAGGGCCCGCCATTACTCTCCAGGGGTCGCGACTGTTGTGACCCCTCAGAATGTAGCCTCTAAGCTGAAGCCCAGAGTTGCTGAAGAAAGAAATGGGCCCAACTGGGCCCATAACCAAAAAAAAGGGCTGCGGGCTTAGCCCTCAGCAACGAAAAAAAAAAAAAAAGGAACAGGGGGTATGCGGGCCGGATTCAGGATTCAGGTTGGGTTGACCCGACCCGTCCAGCCATGATCAAAGTTGACCATTGATTATGACTGTTGACTTTGACCGTTGTTGAACAATAAGTCGGTCCAAAGAAAGGCTTGTTCTTTGACAGGATTTTATTGTCATTATTTGATTACTACACCAAGAGTACCACTTACAAGTTAATATTATTGTCTAAAGACTAATTGTTAATGTTGTGCTAGGTATCTTGTGATGGGTCTTACCATTATTTGAATTGTTAAAAGTTTGATATGGTATTTATGTGAACGTTTTGTTTTGTTCTATTTTCAGTTAATACATATGCTTCTGCTATATTTTTCAACATCAATTCTATTCCTATGTTAAATGGAACAAACTTTAAGGAATGGAAAGAGAATGTTATGATCGTTCTTGGCTGCATGGATCTAGACCTTGCACTAAGGATTGAACAACCCACTGCTCTTACAAACCAAAGCTCCAATGAGGAAAAACAGGACTTTGAGAAGTGAGAACGTTCAAATTGCATGAGTCTTATGATCATGAAGCGTGGAATTCCAGAAACTTTCAAGGGCGCTGTGTCCGAGAAGGTAACTACTGCCAAGGAGTTCCTTAAGGAAATTCAAAAGCATTTTGCTAAAAACGATAAGGCTGAAACAAGTACGATTTTGTCGAACTTGATTTCAATGAAGTATAAACGAAAAGGAAATATAAAGGAGTACATCATGGACATGTCTCATCTTGCTTCGAAACTAAAGGCACTAAAGTTAGAGCTATCTGAGGATTTGCTCGTGCATTTAGTTTTGATTTCTCTTCCTGCACAATTCAGTCAGTTTAAGGTTAGTTACAACTGCCAACAGGATAAATGGACTCTTAATGAGCTCATTTCTCATTGTGTGCAAGAAGAAGAAAGACTGCAGCAAGAAAAGATAGAAAGTGCTCACTTGGCTAGTACCTCTAACGACAAGAACAAGAAAAGGAAGAATGACAAAGAAGCTGCGGGAGGTCCAGCCCAAAAGAAATAGCAAAAGAAACAAGATGAGGAATTTGCTGTTACTTTTGCAAGAAACCTGGACACATGAAGAAGGATTGTACCAAATATCACGCTTGGTGTGCAAAGAAAGGTACGCTTCTCACTTTGGTTTGTTCTGAGGTTAATTTAGCTTCAGTATCAGTACACACTTGGTGGATAGATTCTAGTGCTACTACTCACATAAGTGTGTCAATCCAGGGTTGCCTAAGCTGCCAAAAGCCAAATGATGCTGAAAGATTCATCTATGTGGGCAATGGCAAATCAGCGGAAGTTGAGGCTATAGGGACATTTAGGTTATTATTAAAGACTGGATATTATTTGGATTTAAAAGAGACATATGTTGTACCATTTTTTAGACGGAATTTGATTTCTATTTCTGTTTTGGACAAATTTGGTTACTCTTGTTCATTTATAAATAATCAGTTTAGTCTTTCTTTGAATTCAAATATTGTTGGTACCGGTTCTTTATCTTTTTATGACAACCCTTATTTACTTGATACTATTGCCTCTTATAATGAAACCTTGCATGTGAGTTCACGTGGTACAAAACACAAATTAACAAATGAGAATTCTGCGTCACTCTGGCACAAACGTTTAGGTCACATATCTAAACAAAGAATTGAAAGACTTGTGTCAGATGGAATTCTTGATCCTCTTGATTTCTCAGACTTTCAAGTCTTCCAATCTCCCTTATAATTTTTGTATAATGTTTACAATAAATAACTTAAAAATTATTCATATACATACCATATACAATTAATAAACAAAATTATATATAATATATATAATAGTATATAAATATATGAAAAAATATTAAAAAATTAGGTCAGGCTCCTCGGGTAGGCTCGGGCGGGCTCGGGCTGCCTGACTAGGCTCGGGCATCCAAAACTTGCCCGAAGCCTGTCCAAAGGCTTGCTCAGGTCGAGTCGGGCAACCTAAAAATTCAGGTTCGGGCGGGTTCGGTCATCGGGTAAAAATTCAGAATTTTCAGTGGTCATGGGTGGCTCGTCCAAAGTTTCAGCACTAAGTGCCACCATTTTTTTGATGAATATTCTTTTTTTTTTATGATTTTCTCTATTTTTTGTCTTTGAAAAATATTATAAAATAAAAACGATGTCAAAACATTTTGAAATTTTACAAACAAGATCCTTACATTTTTCTAAGCGGCACCATTTTTCGATGAGTATTACATATTTTATGATTTTCTATATTGTTTGCCATTGAAAAATAAAATAAAATAAAATAAAAACGACGTCAAAAAATTCTAAAATTTTACAGACACGATCCTTGTATTTTTTTGAGTGTGCCTACAAAAAAGAGACAAAATGATAAAAAAAACATTCACAAACAAAATGACATGTCGTTCTAACAAAAAGAGAAAAAACTTTCACAAACAAAACGGCACGTCATTTTTATTGATGCATCAAAATGACATTTCATTTTGTCAAGAACGATAAAAAAATTAACAAACTAAACGACATGTCATTATTTTGATCCGGCGAAACGATGTCGTTATGTAAAAAAGAAAAAAACTTTCAGCAACAAAACGTCATGTCATTTTTTACTGATGACTCAAAACGACGTCCTTTTGATATAAACAGCAAAAAACTTTCACGAACGACATGACGTGTCATTTTTTTCTGATGACGAGAGACGACATTGTTTTCCATACAACCACTAAAAAGTGTCACCTACAAGTTTCCGAAGAAAGAAAAAAATACCAATGCACCAACCAGATTGGATTTGCAGAGAACCAAGCAATGTTTTCTTTACTAAATAGTGGAAAGGATAAATCCTAAGGACAGAGCAAAAAATTAGAACATAGATATGAGAATTTGGGAATGGACTTACCAAATGGCCGAACAAAAACAACTGAGACCGTGGATGTGCAGTGCTCGTAAGAGAAACTAGGAGATAAAATTGAATTTTGCTGCTACAGCACGAAAATTGGAAAGAAAAATCTTTGCACGTTTGTTAATCTACGACCATAATAATAGAACACTGGTACAAGAAAACATGAAGAATGCAGTTTATTAATAAAAGAAACGAAAAAAAAGAAATGGGTTATTATGTAACATTATGCAACGCAGTTTTTGATTAGAGAAAGTACCACTCATTTCCTTCTCCGTGAAACCCAGAATCCTTCCCAGTTGGAGCCATGGCTGAGACGGCGTCGTCAATGACACCGAAATGATCACCAAAAAGGGTCCACTGACTCGGATTTGTGATCTTGCTGGGTCGATTCCTATAGTAGTTGTTACTAAGGTAATGGAATTTAAACATGTGTCTTTCTGTTTTTTAACTGATTTAAATTTTATTGGCGATTCGGTTGTGGATGCCACTACAAAGAAGCAGCTTAAGTATGCTTGAATTTCTTAGTTTCGTTAATGTAATTTTTTTTGAAATGCTATTGGTTTTGCAAAAGGATTCAGTTTAGCTGGTCTGATCTATTTTGTGTACTAGGATTAACTCAATTGTTATGAAAGACAAAAAGTCAGGCTTACAAAAGTAAAAGAAAGATCATAAAAAAGTTGTGCTCTCTTTGTCCTGCTTTTATTGCAGGTGACAGTAGAGAAATATTGATTGCACTTGTACACATTCTAAATGCATACAATTAGTATTGGAGTTGGAGCAACGGAGTTAAGCAATGTAGATAATAATAACCATAGTAACTGCCTTGAAAAACCAAAGCCCAATTCAAATATTCATAAAGGTCAAATCCAAATCCAACATTTTCGGTTGTCATTTGTCTTTTAACTCATGTTAGCTAGTTTTATGAAGAAAAATTTATACATGGAATCTCTAAACTTCCCACTACAGAAAGATACAAACACATCAAATCAAAATGGAAACTGATGTTCTGTATTACAAATTGTATCTGCCTGCCTTCAAAAAGGGGGAAAAAATGGTATCCTCCTCAATCTAAATCACGTTAGACATGTACACTGTGATGACTGAAAATCAGTACCTCCACTTAACTACATGAACTAAATTTTCTGGTCCGAGGAAAATCTTTGGTTTTATTACTGTGCTTTTCATTTCTTTTCTTTTTAACCTTTTTCTTTCTTTATTTTGTTTCAAAACAAATGAAAGCTAACAAATAACAAATGAAAACTATGTCCCTAATATTGCTCATTAGTCCACAAACGAAGCATTTTCCCTAGGAAATTGAATGAAAGAACCTTCCTATTTAGGTGGGATAATAGAAGAGAAAAAAAAAAGGTGAAATTATATGCCTAACATTGCTCATTAGTCCACAAACGAAGCATCTTCCCAAGGAAACTGAATGAAATAACCTTCCTATATACAAGAAAGATTTGAAACCTTGATGAAAATGTTGATGAGGGCAAGTACAAAAAGTGAAGTTTTTTACCTTGTAAGAAAACAAAAGGTCTCTGTGTCTGAAGCAAGGCGAGCAACTGAAGAAGAAGAGAAAGAGGAAGACGAAAGGGGATGAAGCTCTTGTCGCTGACAGTAAGAGCCGGTTGGAGAGAGCATCAGCGTAGAGGAAGAGAAATTTTGACAAAAGAGACCGGAAGAAAATAAAAATTTTGACACACATTTCGGATCCACACACTTTACTACAAGCACGTCTTTATTTGATTTTGTTGTTCGAAACTCAAACTTCCCCTTTAAAGCTATTAAATGCAGCTTTTCCTTCAAATCATTCTTACTTGTAAAGTACTGACCAACTTCTAAACTAGATTCGTCACCGAAGGTAGATCCATGAGATGATCCAAACTCAGTCTGGTCGATACAAATTAAAGGACCTGTAACTTCTACTTCATTTAAAATGGCAAGTGGTTGTGGCTCTAGCTGTGGTTGTGACTCTGGTTATGGCTCTAGCTGTGGCTGTGACTCTGGCTGTGGTTGCGACTGTGATGGAATATCATTACGAGTCGAAAACTCATCTGTAGCTACAATACCTATAAAATCACGATAAAAAAAATCGTCATGCAAAGGATTTCTCCTAATTTTGACTCCATCAATATGTTCTTCTAGATTCATAAGCTTCTCATCCACTATCATGTGTACCGGTACCTCGTGGGCTATATCCCTGAAAAATAACAAATCATCATTGTCTTTTATTATAACGGGATTTCTGTTTCAAATTCAGTACCCACGATAACTGCAAGGAATGTTTTTGTCCATCAATTCCACATTTTCTACAAATCTTATCAACAAAGGTTTCGACAGTATCCTTCTCATCTATATATACGCCAATTAAATTACAGTCTGTATGCCACACCCAACAACTTTCATTCTCCTCCTATTTTCCTCCAATGTCAAAAAAAAATCCTCCACTGAGGCATTATTTAGATTTTAAAACTGTAAAAATTTAATCAAGATAATAATATGTCATTAAACTAAACTAAATATACCACGAACAGACCAAGAACAGACTATATAATAAGAACAGACCTATAATGAGAACAGACCAAGAACAGACTAAAAACAGAACATATAATGAGAACAGACCAAGAAAAGACCGAGAACAGACCATAAAAAAGTGTTCCTACAAAATAAAAAAGGGAAAAAACCATTAATTTATAAAAATATATAATTAAACATGACAAGACCAGACCACTAACAGATTGACCAGACTAAGAACCGAATGACCAGACTAAGAACATATCAAGAACAGACCATATAATAAGAACAGACCAAGAACAGGCCAAGAATCGACCGTGCAATAAGAACAGACCAAGAACCGACCGTGCAATAAGAACAGACTAAGAACAGATCAAGAGCCGATCGTGTGATAAGAATAGACTAAGAACATACCAAAAACCGACCGTGCAATAAGAACATACCAAGAACCGGCCGTGCAATAAGAACAGACCACGAACTGACCATGTATAAGAACAGACCAAGAACAGACCAAGAACATACCAAGAACAGACCATGTTATAAGAACAGACCAAGAACAAACCTTTTTTTTTCTAAACCCAGCAGATCTTCATCATATTAGACAAAGTAAACTGGTCTTTT